AACAGGACATCATTTGCAAAGAAAGTCCTTGCCCTATTATATGGTATCTGACTTTCCAGGTATCTGTCCAGGGAAAATAATCCAAATATGGGTAAAGATCATGAGAAAGGATACTCCTGCAGTACTATGATTATTTGTTACAGAAGTGTAAATAGCAAACTATAAGATAATTGTTTAAAGTATGATACATTCATGTAATAAAATGTTTGGCAGCCATTAAAAGTAACATTTGAGATTCCACTTATGTGAGATATGCAGCATAGACTTGCAGAAATAGAAGTAGAATAGTGATCATCACAAGAAGGGGTAAAGCAAGATTAAAAAAAAAAAAAAAGGTTATGTGATGGGACAGGGTGGCACACACCTATAATCCAGCCTGAAATCCCAGCCACTCAGGGGGGATTCAAAGCCAGCCTCAGCAACTTAGTGAGGCCCTAAGCAATTTAGTGAGGCCCTGTCTTCTCAAAATAAAATATAAAAAGGGTTAGGGATGTGACTCAGTGGTTAAGTACCCTGGGTCTAATCCCCACTACTTAAAAAAAAATGTAGATTTATTGCACAATAGCACAATAATGTGAATATACTTAACACACTGAGCTGTACATTTTAAAATTGCATAGGGCTGGGGTTGTAACTCAGTGGTAGGGTGCTTGCCAGCACACACAAGGCCCTGGGTTGATCCCCAGCACAGCAAAAATAAACAAACAAATAAACCAATTAGGATGGTAAGATTTATTGTATTTTTAACAACAATTTTAAATGTTTAAAATTTTTGAAGAAATATTTTTGAAAATTACTAAATTATGCTTATATTAGACTAAGTAAGGGTGGAATAAACAAGAAAAGTTATTTAATATAATTCCAATTTTGTGATAAGTAAATGAACCTGTGTCTATGCTCATTAGTATTATCAGTGGTTGTAACAAGAGGGTAAGGACTTTTCTTTTTTATACTCTTCATTTTCCCAAAAAAATTCCCCCAAAAGATTATATTATCCTTATAGTCAGAAAAAAAATCATAAGAAAAAAATACAGACTTTGCCCACGTCATCAAAGACTTTTGAGACAATCTTACTTTCATTCCTTGAATTCTCTTTGTTTCCTTTCAGGTCACTTAAGTTTCTTAGTTAAAAAGCTGTTCTATAGTTCTTCTGAAAGCTTACCTAGCCAGCTTCTCATGTTATCTGCCACTTTCATTGACTTGAAATTCCTGAAATCTTTCTCTAAGATCTAATTGAAAAAGAGGAACAATTTTCTCAAGTTGTAGCCCATTATAAATGATACAAAGATTTTATTATTATCACTTCCATTTAATAGTGTATCATTTACCTGAATACCATTATTATGCTGCATATATACAAGTGATTATAACAAACGTGAACTTCAGTGATATAGTGCAGGGATCTTAACCTGGGGTACATGGGCATAACTTAGGGAGTTCTGAGTCTTTGGTTGGGGGAAAAGCCTATCTTTACCTTCACTAGCCTATGACTTAAGTTGAGCATTTCCTTCAGTTATAAACATAAAATTTGTTGCTACTGTTATATTCTCAGAATTGAGCACAATGCCTTGCAGAGATGATGAGTAAGTGTTATAGAATAAAAGAAAGGAAGTAGAAGGAGCAGATGGTTGGAATAGGTCAAGATGAGTATGCGTATGCTTGTTTTCTCTTCAGTCCTCTACCTTCATCAATCATGATATTTTCATAAAATAATCTTACTAATTATATAGTGTTTTAAACTGCCCTATTTTAATTGTTCTCCATAGTAGTCTTATGTGGTAGGAAGAAGAGATATTATTGTCTTCATTTTACACATAAACTGAGGCTCAGTGAAGCTAAAATATCTTGTCCATAACCCACAGCCAGTAAGCGTCAGAGCCAAGACCAGATACTCAGCCCTTTGAACAGCTATATATCATTGCTCTTTTCCTTTTACCAAACTGCCCTTAATATGAATGCCATGCATCAGTTTTCAGTAAGATCCTCAAGAGTGTTCATAGTTAGCAGGCAGTCACATTTTTGCAGGTTTTTCACTTAGTCTCAGGGCACAACACCTTGGTCTTTTGGGACTCTTTTTTTGTCCACGTAGGATCAACACTTGTTCTAGCTACAGAGAGTTTTCTAAAACTTCCTAAACATCAGGAGAGAAGACAACTCATTGTACTGAAAGTATACCCAAGCTATTCTTCCAACTTTGAATGTTTAAAAGCTGTGTTCAAACACTGGCACTGGAATTCATTATGTATGTGACTTTGGGCAAGCTACTTAATTTCTTGGAACTTCAGCTTCTTGTTCTATAAAAAAGGGGCCACAAATACCTACTTAACAAGGTCTTCTAGGATAAATGGGATAGAAAATACATATGAGGTCAAAGGCTGAAATACAATAGGGATTAAGTAAATTTTTAAAAATGCTTTTAGTTTCTTTCTAAATCAACTGTTCAAACTTTCTGATTCTAATGATGTAAGACTTTGATACTGCCAATCTCCTTCCAAAGTCTCTGTATTCTCATCCAATTAGCTGTTTGTCTTAAAGACATTTGAATTTATGAATGAGAAAAGCTGCCAGGACAAATGAAAATTCACAGTCTTCCCTTTTGAAGTAATTTGGAATTTCATTCTTCTCATTTTCTCTTTATGAAGTTAGAGTTATTTATTTCTATTTTAGTCCTGATAAATATTATTTTTCATTGATTCTCATATTAATTTTCATGCCATCAATGAAACGGGAATGGAGGATTACTATAAAAAGAACTGAACACTTAGAACACGTATTTACAATGGCTGTGTTTTACAGTTTTATAAGTACATTTTTAAATATCACTTCTAAGTGCTATTTAAATATAACTGGAAGAGATCATAGTGATCCAAGTTGATATTCTCTATTTACAAATAATAAAGTGTTTTGGTGCTAGTTTTCTTGTACAAGTCTCTTTCAAAAAAAAAAAAAAAAGAAATCACACAATCAATGATATGCTTCTCTTTTTCTGTTTTGTGTGTTTGAAATAATGAACTGTGGCAAGTAGGAATATTTGATCAGAAGACAATGTTTGTATGTTTACATCTGGAAAGGGAGGAGGGATCAATGGAAATAGCTTTCTAATTCCCAGTATCTGCTCCCCTAATTTTCAATCTGCTGGACTTTGTTGTCTTCCTGAAGCCAAGTGGGAAGGAACACAAGGCAATAATCTGTGTGTTTCATTTATATGTTTCAGGTAATTGGCCAACATTTCTAATAATTGCATATTAAATGATTACCTTTTTGTAACATCCTCTGTTTATTCACAAGAGTCCATTTATCTTAGTAGGCTTCTTTCATAATTTTATCACACTTGTTTCAAGGGTCCTATAACCTATGGGTTCTGCACTTAAGTAATTATGTCAGATACTGTTATAGTTTGGATGAGAGGTGTCCCCCAAAAGCTCATGTATGAGATAATGCAAGAAGGTTCAGAGGAGAAATGATTGAGTTGTGAGTGTCTTAACCCAATCAGTGAATTAGTCCCCATAGAGATTAACTGAGTGGTAACTGAAGGTAGATGGGGTGTGGCTGGAGCAGGTAGGCATTGAGGGTGTGGTTTTGGATATATATTTTGTATCTGGTAAGTGGAGTCTCTTTAGCTTCCTGCCTGTCATGTGAGCCCCTTCCCTCTGCCACACCCTTCTGCCATGATGTTCAGCCTAACCTTGAGCCCCCAGGAATGGAGCCAGCTGTCTGTGGACTGAAAGACAGAGACCTCCGAAACCTTGAACCTTCAAATAAACTTTTCTTCCCCTAAAATTGTTGTGGTCAGACCTTTTAGTCACAGCGGTGAAAAAGCTGACTAAAACAAATACATTACTATGACCAAATTGAAGAGACTGAGAAACATTTCTCCTGACTCTTGATAAAAATATAAAACCCTTGAAGATTAAAATAAAGTAGAATCTTATACTCAATAGATTTAGAGAAAAAACTTTTTCAGTAATTTAAAAATTATATATGTTAAGTATGCTTAACCTCATAATGTGATAGACATGGGATAAAAAACAACTTTGGTTACAACTTGCTGTTAGCAAGGGCTATGGATTTCAGAGGATTTTACCACTTTTTTAACATTTTTCCTTTGATAAGGTGATCTCAATGGTATATTCATTGTACCCTGAAGAAAAAGTTTCCAATGTTTAATCCTAGGCCACAGTAACATTAGTCACAACAGTGTTGTTTCAAAGTCTAAATAAGTCAGCTAATAGAAAAGGGAGTTTGTTAGTAAGTGTACTTACCTAGAACAGAAATCCCACAGAATTTTGGAGTTGGAAGGGGTGATTATATTACGACTATTTTACTTTAAGCTGAGGAAACAGAGAAGTAAATGCTAGCATTTACAAAGGTGAACGTGTGTGTGTGTCTGTGTGTGTGTGTCTCTCTGTGTGTGTCTCTGAGTGTGTGTGTGTCTGTGTGTGTGTGTCTCTGTATGTGTGTGTGTGCATGCGTGCGGATGCAAGCACGTGGTCTGGCAACCACCTGTGATCTCTCTCTACATAAGAAAGTGGCTCAGAAGTCTTGCAATTTGGGTTTTAAAAAAGAGGAAAGTTTTCTCAGAAGTGAACATTTTTAGATGTTAAAATGATATACAAAGAACGTGTATGTTTTACACGGAGAAAACTGAATTACTCTAGAGGTCTGTCATTCTTAAAGTTCATGGATTTTTTTTTTTAAATACCTAAGCTTTAAGGCTTAGGCAAAAAAATTAGCTTATTTCTTGCTTTTACATTAATGATTTCATTTATTCAGTAAATCTTTATTAAATGACTAATGAATCAAATGATAATTCAGATCTTTGGTTTGATAACATCAGCCAGACCCAATTCTTAGCCTTTAGAATATTCCAGACTCAAATGATGTATGTTTATCATTGATGCTACAGGAAAAGTAACATCTAGAGACATTTGTCCAATAATTAAGGCTTGATAATCATAAAGTAGTAAAGTTATTTGTATTTCTTTTTCTTTCAGGTCAAACACTATTCAAAGTAGTAGTCAAATCTCTTTCACCTAAAGAGTTAGTTCGAATCCATGTCCCTAAACCTTTGGACAGGAATGATGGAACATTTTTAGTGAGATATAGGATGTATGAAACTGTCAATGAAGGGTTGAAGATAGAGATCCTGTATGGTAATGAACATGTGGCTCAGTCTCCCTATATTTTAAAAGGTAAGTGGTTATTAATAATCCAGAGCAAGCCTTAGTATGCGTTCCATGCTTTTCCAAATGAGTTATAATGACCTTAAAGTCATGTTCAACAAAATCCATATTTTATATATATTTAAAAATCAATATTTTTACATATATAAATGTGTGTACACACACACATTCACACACACTTCCTAGAGCTCTATTTAACTTGAAATTTTAAGGGAATGCAAATTAAGTAATTTAGATTTAAACTATAAGAAAAAAAAGTTGTGTGTTTACCCATGTAGTTATCATACTCTTTATTCCTTTTTGTAAATCCATATTTCTGTCTGGTACCACTTGCCTTCTGTTTAAACAACTTCCATTAAGATTTTTCTTAGAATGAAAATACTGGTGATAAATCCTTCCAGCTTTTACATTACTGAAAAAGTCTTTATTTTGCCTTCTTTTTTTTTGGGGGGGGTTGTAAAAGAAATAAATTCTAAGAATATTCAGTTGAATAGTTTTGAAATTTTCCAAAGATTCCATTTCTTTTTCTTTTTTTCTTTTTCTTATACCCTTGGGGAGAACAGAATCTTCTGAGTCTTTCCTGAGGGAAAAGTTAGTGGGTGACTGAGCAGGTCCAAAGTAATTGTACTCAAAGGTCCTTATCACCTGAGCTTCTTCTCTTCTCCGTGAGGACATCTCATCCACCTTGAAGTCCAGGCTTAAATTGGATGCCTTTATTTTAGTTATTTATTTTTATGTGGTGTTAAGGATCAAGCCCAGTGCCTCATACATGCTAGGCAAGTACTCTACCACTGAGCTTCAGCCCCAGTCCTAGTCGACTCTTTTTGTGTCAATAAATTGTATATAAAGATGCTTTAAGTTTTTATAAAGACTTTTAATAAAGTCATAGTTCCCCCATTTTTGGTCTAAAGTCCCTTCACTCCTATAATCCATTCATTAATCCTCCTCAGACTCCTGTCAGAACAGAGTTGATAAATATTTTCATGCCCTGGAAGAAGTCTTTTATTTCAAGCAGTGATCAATTTCTTCTTATGAGCCTACAGAAAATAGATACTGGTAGTGGTGGATCCTTAGGAGAATTAGCATTCCTTATGGGGCAGTGTACTCAGGTGTTTCTCCCAGATGCCACATTTTTGTTATTGGTGCATTATTATTATATATAATGGTGGAATTTTTATTGTTATTTCTTCATACATGAACACAACCTAACAATATCATTTGGCCAGTATCATTCCCCAGTTTTTATCCTTTCCCTCCTCTCTTAATGGACAATTTAAAAGTATAGACTAAGAAATTTTTTTTATCTTTTCAATAAAATGTATGAATATTATATGCCTGTAGACTGTGGTGATTAAATGAAAGTTGCAAAGGAGTGGTCTATATTTTTGCAGGCTTTGAATAAAGCATATATGGTAGACAACAAATGAAAATTTTCTCAGCTTCTCACTGCCATTACCTTCATTAAAAAAAAAAAGTTTTTGCTTAGCTATAGAAGTGCAAATTAATGGATTTTTTTCCCTTTTAATACTCTAAAGTTGCTTCTCCACTATCTCCTCACCATTATCTTTATCTCTCTGGATTGCTTTTTGAGGCTTTTTTCTTTACCAGTTTTTGTTATTTGTTTTTGTTTTCAGTGCTGGGGATCAAACCCAGGGCCTCATGCAAGCCAGCCAAGTGCTCTACCACTGGGCCACATCCCTAGCCTCTCTTTATCAGTTGTTTTGAGTAGTTGGTTGTTATATTTTTTGGTGTAGTTTTCTTTCTTTGTGCGTGTGGTGGAGATCGGGGGTACACACACTTGCGATTTATAGAGCCTCTTATATCTTTGGTTTATAATTTTCAGCAAATTTAGAAAAATTTTGACCATTATTTCATCAAACATTTTTTCCATTCCTTCAAGGGATTCTAATTACCCGTAATTTCAGCATTTTAAAAATTCGCTTTTTCTCAACATTTCATTTTATTTAGTTTCCATTTCTCTGTCTTTAAATCCACTAATGTTTTTTTCCTATAATGCCTTTTTGTCATTAATCCCATAAAGTACATTTTTCATCTCTTGATTTTTCTTGAGTTTTTTTTTTTTTTTTTTGGATGCAGCTGAGTTACTTAGAAATTAGTTTAATCCTTTCAAGTTATATTTTTACAATTTGTTAGATCAAATTAGAGCCAATTTAATCCAGGACTAATTATTCCTCACTACTGAGGCATATCTTTTACATATTCTTCCCAAACCCCAGGAATTAGGATGCTTTCCAGCCTGGCTGATATGAACAGGCCCTATTGCCAAGCCTGTGTTCTAGTCACTTTGGATGGTTCTTCCTCTGCCTCACACATGCTCTGCTAAATACTCAAGAGGGGAACTACTTCACTTTCTGGAGTTCTCTGTGCAGTTTTCTCCTTTCAGATAACTCAGTCCTTCCAATCCTGGCTGGTTTCCTGGACTCTCAGCCTTGTCTTCTCAATGCAGTGACACTGCTGGGCTTTCTCCACCTCCCTATCCCTATGCTGCCACCTGGAAACTTTCTTAAGTAGTAAACATAGGGACTGTGAGACTCACTTTATGTGTTTCCCACCTCTCAGACTCACTGTCTTTCATTGCCTGATGTCTAGTTTCTTAGAGACTTGTTTTAGATATTTTATCGGAGTCTTTTTCAGTGATTTCAGGTGGAAGAGTAAATTCCTGTTATTTATCTTGGTCCGAAGTAAAAATCCTAAAGAAAATTTAATAATTTTTATATTAAAATAAATATAGATATATCTTAATATATTTATATAAATTATTTTAAAAACAAGTCTTCAGAGAAGTTCTATGCTTATAGCTGACCACTTAAAAATACACTTGCTAGACCCCTCTGGGTTACACATTTCCTCTTTGAGATGAGCGAATGGAGACGATTTAGGGACTCAGAGAACTAGATCCTCAGCTTTGTCTTAAAAAAAAAAATCACTATCCCTACTACATTTTAATGCCTGAAAATTAATATGCTTTCTTCCTTGTTAAAAGGTGAGTTGGTTTATGTTTATCAGCCCCTTCCCCCTCACTACAAATGAATTTATCATCTAGTTGACTGAGAGTAGGTTAGACTGGGAGAAAGCATATGCTATGCTTTGCTATGTTCAGGTGATTCAAAAAGGAGACAGAAAGTAGGGGTGTGAGACTGACACAACAACTTGCACCACTGATGTGTCTAGAGCAGTTTTTCTGTATCTGGATCATCTTAGAATTCACCAAGAAGTCATCAACAACTCCCTGCATCATGGCACTTGCTAATGGAACATGGTGTTGTATGTGTTTTGCTCTCCCTAGGACCAGTGTACCATGAATACTGTGAGTGTCCAGAACAGGATCCTCAGGCTTGGCAGAGAACTCTTTCTTGTCCAACCCAGGAACCACAGATTGAAGAAGATTTTGCTTCCTTCCCCAGCATCAATCTCCAGCAGATGCTAAAGGAAGTTCCCAAAAGATTTGGGGATGAGAGGGGCGCTGTGGTACATTACACGATTCTCAATAATCGTATTTACCGGAGATCTTTAGGGAAATACACAGACTTCAAAATGTTCTCTGATGAAATTTTGCTGTCACTGGCAAGAAAGGTATATCATTGCTCTTTTTCTTTTATCAAATGAATTTACTTTAAAAAGTAGTGTAGTTTAATGATTTTTTTTTGCAACATTTAAATGCTTAGAATTATAATAGCAAGCTCAGAAATGTGTCATCCAAGTGTTCATAAGTCACCTGAGAAGATCTCTCTTTCCTATAAGATTTAAATTAGGTAGCTTGAGCCCCCATCCTAAGTAGGTAGGCCAAAAAAGGCACTCCAAGGTTTCTGTGAACTCCCAGATGTTTACAACCTCTGGGTGACTAAGTTCTCTCTTCTGCCAAATTCTTTTCCCACTCAGATTTCACCATCTGCAGCTATTTTTGTCCCCTCCAGATGAATTTGAACTTAGAACATATTTTCCTTTTTTTACCCTAAGTACCTTTAAAAGAACATGCACATGACTCGTTTTGTTGAAGGCTTGGGGGAACAGAGGCTGTTTTACACCCATGCATACTAAAAAACAGATAAAAACCTGACACCAATCAAACTCAGTCATCCTTGCCTCTGGGAACTTTTCACTGACCATCCTTGATTTTGGTCTCTTTCTAAATGTGGTTGGGCCCCCTGTCCACATCCACCAACAACCATCTCTTATCCTACTTACTTATTTGACCTCTCTTTCCACATTTTCAGGACCCTAACTTCCTTTTAAACAGAACAGTTCAGACCACTTTTGTTCTTGTGCCTGATCATGCAGAGTTTTTTGAAGGATGGAGGTGGGAAATTTTTATCTTTCTGGCCCAGAGAAATCACCTAGGTAGTTTTGTAAACCAAATGCCAACCATCTCGGTATGTTGTACAGTTTTCCAAGCATGCTGAATGTGTGAAGGCAATCAGTTCTTATTTTAAACAGCAGTGACTTTCCCCCTTCTCTCAGCCCACCTGTGAGCACATGAGCACATTATGAGCGTCTGACCCTAAGGTGGTTCTCTCTGCCTGTCCAACCTGCCTGATTTCCTGTATTTTATACTGGTGTTGCTGTCTCTGCAGCAATAATTTTCAACTGGGAATGATTCTGCTCCCCATGGGACATTGGGCAATAAGTGGAGACATATTTGGTGATTTTACCTTGGGGTTGCTACTAGCATCCAGAGGATAGAGTGGGGTTTGCTAGTCGTATCTAATAGGTAAATATCCTACAATGAACAGGACAGCCCCCCACAGAAAAGAATTATACAGTACAAAATATCAATAGTGCAAGATTGAGAAACCTAGCTCCATAATAAGAATTTCTGATGTGAATATTATTGATGAATTTTTAATTAATAACAGAGAAGCAAGAGCATGTACATTTGCATTCCGTATCTTTCCTTTTATTCCTGATTGTTGCCTACTGGCTGGGACGAAATCTGAAAAAAAAAAAAAAGCAAGACTCAGTGCTAGTCTTCAAGTGGCACACTCTTGTGGAACTTGTTTGTATTCTTTGGAAGTAGGAGTGTGGTATGAATACAAACAGATAAATATACCACAACATGACAGATACTGAGGGTTCCAGTGCCCAAGGAGGGTGAGTCATAGAAGAGGAAATGTTAGATCTGGGTTTGAGGGACAAGAAAGGAGACTACCAAGTTGAAAAAGTGGGAGAATATTCCAAGTGAAATGAATTACATATTAAAGTGGATGGCATTTTCAGAAAGTAGCCCAGAGTTTACCAGTACATGGGGGTGGAAGACAAGGCTTAAAGCTAAGCTGGAACAAGGTAGGTGATATGTTGAATGCAAGTCAGGCATTTTAGACCTCATCCTGTAAGCTTAAGATTCTTTAATCTTCGTAGTTACATTAATTTGTGTTTTAAAGATTTCATTGACCTTGATTCTGGCCAAGTGGAGACTAGATTAGAGTGAGAACACCTAACAAGGAAGATATTGCAGCATTCTAGGCAGGAGGTGACAAGGGCCTCAACTAAGGCATTGACTACGGAGACGGAAATGGGGCAGCCGACTCCAGAGACATAGTAGGTGTGGTAAAGAGGGTGATAGTGGAGGAAAACAAGGGTTCAGGTCTAACATCATGGGTTCTTGCTGGGGTAGCTGGCAGAGAAAGATCTCAAGGATTTCATACTTTTCTATACTAAAATATAAAATATACTAAAATATAAAATAATACTAAAATGTAAAATCCACCTCTGGATAGTGGTAGCTGACTTCTGGCTAAGAGAATTTGCCATGTACTGTCCTCACCCAAGATTTAATGATACAACTTACAACCAAGAAGCATTCTTCTCTCTTCTCCTACTATTTTTGAATGGTCAAGCTCTATCAGAAATTTTTAAGAAAGCCAAGGAACTATATAGTATTTAGTATCAAAGACTGGAGTCTCGCAAGCATTAATGTTTGTACTTTTGTTTACTTAGGTCCTTCTCCCAGATTTAGAATTTTACATTAATCTTGGAGATTGGCCCCTGGAGCATCGAAAAGCCAGTGACATCCCTGGCCCTATACCTATCATTTCCTGGTGTGGCTCTCTGGATTCAAGAGATGTTATCCTTCCAACCTATGACATCACCCACTCCACGCTTGAAGCAATGAGGGGTGTTACCAATGATCTCCTCTCTATTCAGGGAAATACAGGTAAACTAAGGCTGATTCTAAAGAGTGAAAATAGTTAAGGTAATATTTAGTCAGAGAAAGTAAATTATATCTTTAAATAACCATTCTTATTTTCTTACCAAGAAAAAAGAAGAACAGCACCTTTGGGGCTAGGATGTAGAATACTTGCCTAGCAGGTGTGAGACTCTGGTTTCTATCCCCAATGCCACAGAAAAACACCACCAACCACAAAAAGGCATTCTAAGCACTGAAGTGGTTTGTTTAGGATTCTTCTAATCCTAAAATTAAAGAAATATGGTTTGGGCTAGTAATGCCCAAATCTACCTTCACTAAGTCTCCTTTGAGTTTAATCTTTTGTATATATACATTTGGGAAAGTCATCACTTAATTCTGAGTCCAAGGCCTTTATATTTCTGGATGAAATGAGAGATAATTTTGAAATATATGTTACACAAATATAAGAGAACTGTAATAATAGTATAGCTGAGATATTACATTCTCCAGCACTTGGTAAGGAATTCTTTTCTCTCCTTTTTCTGCCTCTTCATCCTTTAACATCTGAATTCCTTTTCTCCTATTTAGTGAGCTTGGATTTATTATGCAACATAACTTTTTTTTAAAACCAAATTCACCAAAATGAGAAAAAAACCTTGCTCTGTCTTTATTTTTTTAATAGTTTTTTTTTCTCAGCCCATATTAGGACTGATTTTTTTTTTAAAGAGAGAGAGATGAGAGAGAATTTTTTAATATTTATTTTTTAGTTTTCGGCAGACACAACATCTTTGTTTGTATGTGGTGCTGAAGATCGAACCCGAGCCGCACGCATGCCAGGCGAGCGCACTACCACTTGAGCCACATCCCTAGCCCCCTTGCTCTGTCTTTATAACCTGTATTTCTGATTATTATAGTTCGATGAACTTATTATGTACACAAGATCAGAGAGTTGTAAACTATGTAAAGATAACAGTATGTGAAAACTGGCATACTTTAAAAAATTTTTTTTTAGTTGTAGATGAACACAATACGTTTATTTTATTTATTTATTTTTATGTGGTGCTAAGGATTCAACTTAGTGCCTCACACATGCTAGGCAAGTACTCTACCACTGAGCTACAGCTCCAGCCCCTGGCCTACTTTTAATTTGATAACAATGAATTCCTGAAAGGTATGCTAAAATAGTAAAAAGATTGACCCCTGCCTATTTCTGTGTTTTATGACTTATCCCTCAAGACAATGACAGGTGTTAACCAATGGCTTTCTCTCTTTAGAATAATAATAATTTAGCCAGATGTGGTGGCACACACCTGTAATCCCAGCAGCTTGGGAGGCTGACACAGGAGAATCATGATTTCAAAGCCAACCTCAGCATCTTTGAGGCACTAAGCAACTCAGTGAGACTCTGTCTCTAAATAAATTACAAAATAGGGTGGGATGTGACTCAGTCGTCAATTGAACCCCTGAGTTCAATCCCTGGTACCAAATAATAATAATAATAATAATAATTTAAATTAATTCTCCCAGAATATTCCCCCCCTGAAAAAAAAAAATATATATATATATATATATCTTTTATATATCTATATCTATCTATCTATCTAGATAGATAGATAGATAGATGTACATACATATAGCTATGTATTTGCATTTAATGGTTTATTAGAAAAAAATCTTCCCCCAAATTCTGAATAGCCTGGGGATTAAGGATTTGTCTTAGTTATCAGTTTTTTATGATTGTCCTGTGAACAAAAGCCTAGCTCATGTTTGATTGTGAAACATAAAATTTGGAAGAAGCTATTGCTTGGTAAGTAAGCCAAGTCATTGAATCTCTTTGTCTCTTTAAACTTGATCCAGTATGATTTTGGATATTTCCTAGTCTTGTACAACAGAAAACACCAGTACTTGTATCAATTCTCATTAAAAGGTGGGTAGAATTGAAGTATTCTTTAATTCAGCAAATAAAAAGAGTGTTTTTGAAAGTCTAAGCTTGAAAATTATCTCTGGAAAATTGAGACTTGATCCCATATGTTTTGGAAATAGCGTCTACTTTATGAGTCTGATAAAAGAGCATTAACATCTTAAATGACAATGGTGGATTAAAGAGGATTATGCTTGCCATATAAAAATGTCAAATTCTTAACTGTAATTTATTTTTATGGCCTCAAACTTCTAGGGCCTTCCTGGATCAATAAAACAGAGAAAGCTTTCTTCAGAGGTAGAGATAGTCGTGAGGAGAGGCTACAGTTGGTACAGCTATCCAAAGAAAATCCACAACTGCTAGATGCAGGAATTACAGGATATTTCTTTTTCCAGGAGAAGGAAAAGGAGCTTGGAAAAGCCAAGTTGATGGGTTTCTTTGATTTCTTTAAGGTATGTATCACCTAGTACCTCTGATCCCCAAGTACGGAATCTTCCTGTATGGATATGAAATGATAAACTTGGGTTAAAAGTCTATCAAATAGGTGGGCTTAGGCAAATTTCTTCTGTGAACTGATGTACACTTTCATTCTTATCAGACCTGGGGAATTAAAAAGTTCATTATAGTTCTTTTTGTCATTATTGTTGCTGTTAACTTGTCTATGGAATAGCTCAGAGCTATGTTTAATGCTCAAATTGTAGGGTTAACATAAGTTTTGGTATATTTTTTGGTATATTTCTCACTCTTTTTTATATTTGTCTTAATAAAATGAGGATATGTCTTTTATACAAAGTAATGTACAATTTCTTTTTTTGTTTTTTTTAGTTGTAGATGGACCCAATATCTTTATTTTTATGTGGTGCTGAGGATGGATCCCAGTGCCTCATGCATGTGAGGCAAGTGCTCTACCACTGAGCTACAACCCCAGCCTTCTGATATCTTTTATAAATAAAAAGTGCATACATTTAATGTATATTAAATAGGAACTGGACTTAAAGGTCCAGTCCTACCTCTCCTCCTGCCTTTGCTACTGACTGTGAGACCTTCATCTCTTGCTGCCTCTGGTCTCCAAACACCTGTGATGCCTCCCTTGCTCCTTCAGAGCATTATCATGAGGCCCAGAGGAGACAGTTGTGAACTATGTGACAAAATCTGACTGACTAGGAAACTCTTTGGAACTAGTTTTTAAAGAAACCATTAAGGGGTTGGGGGTGTGGCTCATTGGTGCTTGCTTCGCATGCTCAAGACCTTAGGTTTGAGCCTCAGCACCACAAAAAAATAAGTAAATAATTAACAGATCAGGGAGTGTATTCTGTTTACTGCAGGGTGCTATCATGAAAAGGATGGGGGATTTGGACTCAGAAATAGAAGTTTATATATCTCCCAGAAGACCAGTTTTCTCACTTATTAAAAAAAAAAAAAAGCACCTATTTCATAGTATAATAACTGAATAAGATTTAATGCCTATGAAAAGTAATTTTTAAAAAAGTATTTATGTTTTAGTTGTAGTTAGAAACAAAACCTTTATTTTATTTATGTATTTTTATGTGGTGCTGAGGATCAAAACCAGCGCCTTGCATGTGCTAGGCAAGCTCTCCACCACTGAGCCACAACTCCAGCCCTGAAAAAGTGCTTTTGAAGTGGAAATCAAAACTTACTAATCCAACATAAGCAAACAGAGCACCTACTTCTCCATGTTTCTGTATCCTTGACACAAAAACTGTAAAATAGAGGTAACACCTTCTTCCTTTAGGGATTGAATATAGAAACAAGTGAAATCATGTAAACATTAGAGTATAAATTCTTATTAGTATTCAACTTTAACAAATACAAACTTTTTGAAAATAGTTTTAATACCTAGTTATAGAAATCTGAATTCCCCCATTGTATAGACATCAAAATAAGTATTTATTCCCATTTCCTAAAATTGTTTATCACCTTATCCTTAAAAGTTTTGTATTTCTTAAAATTGATCTGTTAGCCAGGTGCAGTGGTACATGCCTCTAATCCCAGCAGCTTGGGAGGCTGAGGCAGAGGATCACAAGTTCAAAGCCAGCCTCAGTGAGGTAATAAGCAACTCAGTGAGACCCTGTCTCCAAATAAAATACAAAAAATAGGGCTGGAGGTGTGGCTCATTGGTGAGTGCCCCTGAGTTCAATCCCTGGTACTCCTCCCCCCCCAAAAAAAAATCTGTTAAAGGCTGCTTATAATTTGAACATCAAGAGAATATGTAAGTTACAAAATAAAATTTTTAAACAAAAGTGTTGAAAAATGGAAAATAAATCTATCTGTATTTAGTATTACAGTATTGAGAGGCAAAAATGAAGCAAATCATTGTGAAAAGTTTTTGCTTACGTTTTTTATTTTTATCTTTCAGTACAAGTATCAAGTGAATGTTGATGGGACCGTGGCTGCGTATAGATATCCATATCTCATGCTGGGAGACAGCCTGGTTCTGAAGCAGGACTCACCATATTATGAACATTTCTATGTGGCGCTTAGGCCATGGAAACATTATGTTCCAATCAAAAGAAATCTTAGTGATTTACTAGAGAAAATTAAATGGGCCAAGGTACGTTCCCTACAATTTTTATTTCTTTAGGCAATAACACATTCAGCAGTATAGGTTGCCTGAGTTCCATCACAATGCAGTTTAATTTGATATAATGACATTGAAAGAAATATGATTTCTTTGGAATTTTTGTTCTCTTGAAATATCTAAAGTCAACATCAGAATCATTTATGTACTCTCTATCAATGTATCTGAGATTTAAAGTACAGATTTTTTTTGAAGGAATCACTAGTTGTGCTTACACACACACCCCCAACGAACAAACAAAATGCAAATTATAGACTGAAAGAACAGAGTTAAAGGGCTTTACCTACAAGAAAACATTTAAGGCAATTGTGACACTCTTCTTTCTTTCATGCAGACAAAAAGGCACAAGTTTTTTTTTCCCCCTTAATGGATTTATTTATTTTTTATTTGTTCTTTTTAGTTATACATGACAGTAGAGTATATTTTGACATATATATACAAACATGAAATATATCTTATTCTAATTAGGATCCCAGTCTTGTGGTTATACATGATGTCTATTCATACATGTACATGGGAGATTCACTGTGGTGTATTCATATATGTACATAGGAAAGTTATTTCAAATTAATTCTACTGTCTTTCCTATTCCTGTCCCCTACTCCCCTCCCTCCATTCCCCTTTGTCTAATCCCTGAACATCTATTCCACCTACCCACCTATTGTGTGTTATCATTCACATGTAAAAACATTCGACCTTTTTTGAGGGGGATTGGCTTATTTCACTTATATGATAGTCTCCAGCTCTATCCATTTGCTGGTAAATGTCATAAAGTCATTCTTTTTTATGGCTGAGTAATATTCCATTGTGTATATGTACAACATTGTCTTTATCCATTCATCTGTTGAAGGGCACCTAGGTTACTTCGATAGCTTAGCTATTCTGAATTGAATTGCTATAAACATTGATGAATAATATATACCAAGCTCTGGAAGAAAATGGATGCTGAGAATACTATACCCAGCAAAATTAAGCTTCAGGTTTGATGATAAAATAAAAACCTTCCACAATAAACAAAAGTTAAAAGAATTCACAATTAGAATGCCTACACTACAAAACATATTCAATAAAATATTTTATGACATAGAAATGAAAAATAAAACTGAAAAGGCACAAGTTCTTAACCAATGCATGCTATATATAACATTCCAAGAATCACAAATTTCCTACAAAATAGGAATTCCCTTTTTAAAAGGAACAATATTGAAAAGCTGCTGTGTTTCATTATAAAAATTCACCCTTGCTTTATGAGTCTATTCTGAGTTTCTGAGAAGCAATATTTGCTTAAGGAAACAACTGGGTAGAATCATTTTTGTGACCCTTTATGAAAGCCACAGTTGCCAGCAAATGGCTTTTCCTGTTGGCAGTATGGTAGAAGATTAACTATTTTCAAAAGTGTAATTAGGAACACTGACTATTCCTGGTACTAGAGGAATAGCCTGTGGGTAATAATAACTGAATTTTTTTTATTATACCACTATAGCTTTTTGATGGCTGTGGCTACATATGAAAATGGAGCTTTTAAAAGATCTTATAACACGAGAATACATTTGCATTACTCTTAAGCAGCGAAGCTGAGTCTAGGAGGACAATTGACTGACCAAAGCCAAGCTTTCTTCCTGGGTAGCTAGGAAAGCGCCAAGGTAGTCCTGATAGAAGCCACATGTGGGTGTTGCACTGTGGCGACTGTGGAATCAGGGCCATATGTGTCTGTCTGATCATTTGCCTATAACAGAGATGGTCAGGAAAGCTCTCTGTTTCCATGGCCTCATCCATTTCTCCCATTCTGTTCACATTCAACCCCACATCTTTCCCAGCTCACACTTGTCCCTAGCTTTCTTTGTAGGCTGTAGGAATAATTTTCATTCTTTTTAAAAACCTTCAGGAAAATGATGAAGAAGCCAAGAAGATTGCAAAAGAAGGGCAGCTGACCGCTCGGGACCTGCTACAGCCACACAGGCTTTACTGCTACTATTACAGCGTTCTACAGGTCAGTTCAGAGTCATCCTGCTGGGTCAGCCCTCCTCAGACCTCATGTGTTTCTTCCTACACAAATCTAGACAGAAAGAAAAGATATAAGAAATTATGTTTTTATTTTTAACATAAATTTATTTTTCTGCAGGAAGAGTAGCAGTAGATACCTTCCTTAAGTGGGTTCTGTCCTCTCTGCTGGTCTAGCTTAATTTTAATAGTAAGAATTTCTTCCCCTAAAAATTTAATTAGGCTTACCCACTTATATCACCATTTTGTTGGGTCTGGCTCAGTACCAGGAGTATACAGCTACATGGACAAAGAACCACTGAAGTGAAATATCCAATTTATAGAAATATTTCAGTCAGTAGCCATAGTAGAGGAACATTTTATAGGACAGTTGTCATTTAAAAAATGGATGTGACTACAGACCTAACAGAAAGGATATGTACTACCCACTTTTTCTTGAGATGTTTATCATCTTTGTTTGCTGATTTGAATATTCAACAAATTTATTATTCATTAACAAGTAGAAGGTTAGTGCTGAGAACTGCTGTTCACTTCAAGAAGGGACATTTGGCTTGGCATCTCTCTTGTAGCATTCCTCCTTACACATAAAATTGTGAATTAGGGTTCTTGGGTAGATTATGAAATATTGTACCATCACCCATAATAACTAAGTTAAAATGTAACTGTAGGACCAGAATAAACCAGATCTTTGGTTTTGGTCTGAAATATAATGGGTAGGGATAGAGGTATCAGTAGAATCGAGTATGGACTAATCTTTCAGTTGCCTTTAAACACATTTCAGAAATATGCTGAGCGCCAGTCCAGCAAGCCTGAGATCCATGATGGAATGGAACTTGTTCCTCAGCCAGATGATAACACATCCATCTGTCGGTGCCACAGGAAAAGGCTTTCAAGGGAAGAGCTTTAAGGTGGCCCAGATTCACCCTCCTGTGTATGCCAGCTACATCTTCAGGAAAGACTTTAGATGCTAAGCTGTGAAGAAAAGTACAGAAGACATTTCTCTTGGTTGCTTTATGTAATGTGGATGGATATAGCAGTATTTGAGCAAGTATTACCAAATATCTTTGGATGTTAATTTGTTTTGGGTTAAAACTGCTGTTATCAGCATCACAGTTTTCTCCAAAAAGAACATTTGCAGATCATAGCAGATTGAGAGGCTTGCCAAAATACAAATCACCCTCTGTGAATCTGCTGACACCATGCCCATGGCTTATTTATATCTCTTGTTCACTTTCTGTCTTCTTCTTCCATTTGTGAAGAGAAAATATTTGCGCAGGGTTTTGTTTTTTGTTTCCTCCTCACTGCATAATTTCTCCTTTTGCAAGGTGCTTTTGGCATTTAGCAGTTTCTGCTTCCAACCTTGGATTGAATATGATGAGAATAATTAAAAAACAGGAAGATGACTCTGACAGTAAAGGTATCATGCAGAGTATAGAGTGAATTTTTTTAATGCACTGCTCATATCTTTTTAGCTAAATTTTAGGCCTGAGACAAAACTAAGGAGAAATTGTAGCTGGGTATTGTTGCGCATGCCTGTAATCCCAGCAGCTTGGTAGTATGAGGAAGGAGGATTGGAAGTTCAAAGCCAGCCTTAGCAAATAAGCAAGGCCCTAAGCAACTTAACAAGATGAATCTTTGTCTTACATATATTGTACCAAGGGTTTGGGGGTTGTCCAAACTGGGATTTTGGAAAGAAAAGTTACCTCCCTCCTTCATAACTCTCTGCCATCCAAACCCCAGGTCCTGATGGCTAATGGTATATTATTAGACACATCTTAAATTTTTAAAATTGACTTTTCCTACTGCCAAACAGTCCAGGTAGTTAAAATCAAGTAGAGACAAATCGGGCAGCTTCAGGGAATGGAACAGGAAGAATGTGCTCGAGAAATAAAGAGGAGCCCCTCAAGAAATTCTATGGGAAGAGAGTAGCCTTAATCTAAATAATCCTCCATCTCATCAATTTGACCACAGCCTTTAAAAAAGTTAGTTTTACAGGCTTTTTGATTTGTTGAATTGAATATAATTCAGTAAAGACAAGACTACTAATATCCCTGATTCTTTTCCTTTCAGTTCACACATTGCCCACATAATCCATTAGTCATTTTTAATATTTCAATTTTCACTTAAAATATCTGATTTTTCAAAGGACTGAAAGAATCTATTGGCAGGTATAATAGCTGAATTTGTCTAAATAGGCTATCAACATGTTCATTGCTGCATTAATGCAGAAACACCCTATGTAGCCTTCGTTAGTGAATTGCCTGATATATCAAAGAATGAAGTACAACTATTAAAAAAGAATGAAGCAGCTTTATATCATCACAAAACGTTTCCACAACAGTACTGAGTGAAAGCAAGTTATAGACGTATATAATATGAAGGCATTTGTGTAAAAGAGAACACGGTTGGGTTGGGAATATGCTCAGTTGGTAGAGTGCTTGTGTTGCATGCACAAGGCCCTGGGTTAAATCCCCAGCACCATAAAAAAAAGACAACATGGCTGAAAGTTTTGAGGGAGATTTGCTATCTGAGAAGGGGATAGAGGGAGGGGAATTTTTGTTTTATACCTTTAAGTTGTTTTTACTATGAGTGTGAATCACATTGTTAAAAATGCCAACCTGGGAAAAGACAATGAATGCACATAAGGTTTAAATATGAAAATAGAATGCATATTTATATTTTCCATTATGCTATTTTTTAAATCTACTATGTCTGAATTTTATGTGATGGGACATATTTATATATACTTTTTAAATAAATTTCCATAAAAAATTTTGAAAAAGATACATTTTGTTTTTTAAGAGATTATCACCACCTCAAACTGAATCGGTCTAATTTTAATTCAATTATGTCTTCGTGAATGAATGAACCCAAACTTCTTTCACCACCACTCCATCCCTAATGGGCAGAAATATAATGTTAGAGAAAAAAATATTTGAGTTTGACATTAGTTTCAGTTGCTAGTAAAAATACAAGAAGATAGGCAGAGAGTTAATGGTCCCCTTGAATAATAAATCCAAGGTTAGAAGAACTATAAAAGTTCTTGTTTGGAAGGAAGGGAATCATCCTTGTGATGAGGTATGTTTAACTTCACAGGGTTGAGGAATGTCAGGCTTAGTGACACACATCTATAATCCCAGTGATTCTGAGGCTGAGGCAGGAAGACCATAAGTTCAAGGCCAGCCACAGCAACCTAGCAAGGCCCTAAACAACTTAGCAAGACCCTGTCTCAAAATAACAACAACAACAACAAAAAAAAAAATTCAAGGGACTGGGGATGCAGGTCAGTGGTATAGACCCCCCCCAAGTTCAATCCCTAGTACCAAAAAAGACCCCCCAAAAAAACAAAAACAAAAAAACTGGAGAGAATATCAGCTAGACAGAAGAGTAAAAGGCCCTCTTTTATGCACAGAGCCACAGATTCCCCTCTCCCAGCCACTGCGTCCCCACTGCATTCTAACACTCCAGACACTGAGACCAAAGCTAAATCTCCTGCAAGCCAAGTCCTCTCTGTAGAGTTTTGTGGAAGAGGGAACCACTAATTTTTTTTCTTTTTATTTTTATTGATTTAAAAAAAATAAATGACAGCGGAATGCATTACGATTCTTATTACACATATACAGCACAATTTTTCATATCTCTGGTTGTATACAAGGTATGTTGACACCAATTCGAGTCTTCATACATGTACTTTGGATAATAATGTCCATCATATTACACCATAATTTCTAACCCCATGCCCTCTCCCTTTCCCTCCCACCCCTCTGCCCTATCTAGAGTTTGTCTATTCCTCCCATGTTCTCCACTATGAATCAGCCTTCTTATGTCAGAGAAAATATTTGGCATTTGTTTTTTGGGGATTAGCTAACTTCACTTAACATTATCTTCTCCATCAATGTCCATTTACCTGCAAATGCCATGATTTTATTCTCTTTCATTGCTGGATAATATTCCTTTGTCTTTATATACTACATGTTTTTTTTTTTTATCCATTCATCTACTGAAGGGCATATAGGATGGCTCCACAGTTTAGCTATTGTGAATTGTGCTGCCATAAACATTGCTATGGCTGTGTCCCTATAGTATGTTGATTTTAAGTCCTTTGGGTATAGACCAAGGAGTGGGATAGCTGGGTCAAATGGTGGGGAAACCACTAATTTTAAGCTGCAACCTTATATTGTAATATTTCTTAGAAACAAGGAAAGTAGGAGACTGGGGTTTCTTTATTCTATAGGAATAAGTAGCACATCCTGGAAGTGGACAGGAGGCAGGAAGGCAGGGGGGTAGCAGAGGTGATATACATAGAAGGAAACATGGCATCCAGAAGTGAGGGGAGGAGAAGAGTAAGGAGAAAAAAGAATGTTTTTGTGAGACATCTCATCACCCCAAACTGAGCTGAGTATTCATTATTTAAAAGGCTTGGAACAAGAAGTATTTCAGATTTGAGGATATTTACATAGGCTTCACCTGTTGGGCATCCCTAATCAGAAAATAGATCTGAAATGTCCCAAATTCAAAACTTAGCATTATGTTGACATTCAGAAAGTTTCAGATTTTGGAGCCTTTTGGATTTGGGGTTTTTGGATTAGGGATGCTCAACCTATATACTTCAATACAATTCTGATGCTACCCATCCATTAGCATCAAACACCATAGGTTTAATGACTCAGTCTTCCACAAGACTGCCCTTATAGCTGCGAGTAAGGTCCCTGGACCACCTACAGTTCTAACCAACTGATTAAAAGTTAAGGGGTTCCAATGACCCCCCCCTCAGGTTTGATGAGTCACTAGAACTCAAAACTCAGAAAAGCACTGTACAAATGCTCCTTAACTTACAATGGCACTGTGCCCTACAAAGCCCATTATAAGATGAAAATGCATTTAATACACCTCACCTACTGAACCTCATAGCTTAGCAACACAGTGCACTGTAGAGTATCAGTTTCCTCTCATGATCCTGTGGCTGACTGGGGGCTGAGGCTCGCTGCTATTGCCCCATCAGGAGGGAGTATTATAGGGTATATTGCTGACCCAGAAAAATATCAAAATTTAAAGAACAGTTTCCACTGCATGCATATTATGTTTTCACACCATCTTAAAGTTAAAAAATGTGTAAGTTAAACCATCATAAGTTGAAGACCATCTGTACCTAACAATCACAGTTTTATTATAAAGGTAACATATAGGATGGAGCCTGGGTTGGAGCACAGAGCTCCACACGCTCTCCTTGGGAAATGAGGACTTCTTACAATTCAAGTACATTAATATCTTTACCAGGAAGTTCCTCTGAGCTTTGACATCCCAATTTGCAGGTTGGAGGGAGGCTCTCATTACATAGGCATGACTGATTAAATCATTGGCCATATGATTCAATCTCTAGCATCTCTCCTCTTTCTGGAGTGTAGGCTATTCAAAGTCCCAACCCTCTGTAATCATGCACTTGGTGTTTATGCTATCTCTCATTCTGAAGCTATCTAGGGGTTTACCACTTGTACTTATAACAAAGATATTTCTATCACATAGGAAATTCTAAGGGTTTTTGAAGCTCTGTGCTGAGAATCAGAAACAGAGATAAGATATATTCTTTAAATGCCATACACCCCTGAGGGCCTGGGAACTGAGGACCACCTAAGCCAGTGAGATCCATGTAAGGGTATTGTAGGACAGGCCCCAAACGGCTATAGTTAGGCTTCCAGCAGGCTGTTTTTAGTATGTAGCCGAGATCATGAACACAACACCCAGATTCAGTGTAGGTACTCAAAGTCATAAACATTTGCTTGTGAGCGTGCATCCACTTATGTAACTTGTTGGCAATGTGCCTTCTTTGGCCTGCATATAGAAAGAGCCCATACAAATGGCACAATGGCGCTAAATGGAACTGGTTGGATCTAAATTAAGCTAAAACTGGAGGCTATAGGCCAACTTTGAATAAACAATATCTACTATCCCAACTGCATCTTGCATCATCTTCTACCTGCTGGCATCCCAAATCTGTTTCTGGGTCTAAGCCTTCCACAGGTACGAAGTTGCAATATTACTCCCATTTGTAAGGTTTGGGACAAATACCTGAGCCTTTTAGTAAAGATATGCTTTAACCAAATCCCATTTCATGTAGTTCAGATCTTGTAGTAGAGGAATCCTTTAAATAGGCAGAGAGTAAGACTCCTTCCGTGGTTTCCAAGGATCTACCCCCACTCTAAGAGTTATTATTCACTACTAGTGTACAGCAAGAAGCACCAAGCTTCAGATGACAATGAACATGAAAACTATAACTCTTTCACAGCTCACCCATCCACTCTGCTTCAGCATCTCCAAACAATAAGGAGAACTGTTGCCACTACTTGCATTCCTTGTACCAGTAGCACTGTAGTCATGAAGCAGAAAAGGAAGGCACCTGCCACCTAGGTGAGAAAAAAATAAATCTTCCAAGGAAAATAATTTGTCCTTTGATCCATGATTTTATCATTCACCACTGGGGCAATGGGCCAAGTGACTCCCTTATTTGGAACTCTTTGGGCTGACATGGAGACTTACAAAGGGAAGAATATTACAACAAGGTTCTATTCTTGTTGTCACAATGAAGGTTTTTCTGTTCCTTCAGCTAATAAAACTTATGGGAGACTTTGGATTTAGAGACCTTCGATAGGCCCCACCCAACACACCAAACCCATATAGACAATAGCAGTAACTTGAGTTTCAGCTGGTTTTAGAGGCCCTGCAGCCAACTAACTGAGTTGTAAACAATCAGCTAGGTAAACTATACCCAACTGGCTGACTAGGCGGTTGCCAATTAAGTTGTTGTCTAGGCATCATTTCTGTTTTCCTATAAATGCCATTGGACCACAGTGTTGATTGGAATTTTTGGAATCTGCTTTGGTTCTGGGAACTGCTTGATTCTCCAATGGTCTTTGTTTTGCTCAAATAAACTCCATGAAATGTATTAGTTTAAGGAATTTTCCTTTTAACAGTTTTGGCCTGGTCATCGGGATCCAAATCAAAGTTCTAGTGACCTCCAGCAGCATCAGGTGAGGTTCCCATTGAGCCCGTCATGTTCACTGTTTTCTTGTAGCATCTGGGAATTGTAGGTTACTTCTCTCTGGTTCTAAAGCTCTTTGGATTTGTGTTTTGGGCAAACCTTTTGGGTTTATTGTTTTGTTTGTTTGTTGCAGTGCTGGGGATTAAACCCAGGGGCTCACACATACTAAAAAAAAAAAAATACCACTGAGCTATACCACAGCCTATTGGTGCAAATTTTTTGATCCAGAATGGATTTGCAAGTGCTGACAGATACAGGAAAGTCTCACCTATATAAATAGTCAGACAAACTGAACTGGGCTCAGTAAGAACAGGCTACAAAGAAACCTCAGAGTAAATGGAGAAAGAAAGATGGATTCTTAAAGGAATAGATGAGTTTGGATGTGGTGAAATCTTTTTGCCTGAGATAAAAATTAATATTCAGAGGATTTATGACAGCTGAATCATTTTGGAGGATTTTTCTTAAAATAAATGGAGCAGAAGTCAGCCTTGCATTTTTCCTGTTTTTCAAGTGCCTTCAATTTAAAATAATCACTATACAAATGTGGCATGTTTTGATATTTTCCAAACTCCTTCAATGAGTAGTTTGGTTTAACAAGCCAATCAAGCATAGCTGTCAGCTGGACACAGCAGCCTGTAATCCCAGTATTTAGCAAGACCTTGTCTCAAAATAAAAGTTTAATAAAAGG